CAAATTGTACTCATTAATTAAATAAATGTTTCGAATGAACATTCATTGTGGCGAAGTTAAGCATATTTTCACCCAGTCAAACAACTCCAGCATAAAACGCAATGGTGGAACCTCACGGTCAAATTGAAAAAGAAAGCAGACTCAGAATGTGATGTAACTGAACAGAACTGATAAAAACGAGTTCTCTTCTAGTTTATTTAAATTAAAAGGAGAAATATTCTCATTAATTAAATAAAGGGTTCAAATGATCATTCATTGCGGCGAAGTTAACCATATTTTCTCCCCGTCGAAGTACTCCAGCATAAAACGCAATGGTAGAACCTCACATATAGGCATCGGTTAAATTATATTCAATAAAGCTTCCTTACAAGCTTACAGCTCATCTGTTTCTTTAAAGTTATCAGGAATATATTCGGTTTCTTTTATTTCTATACCAGCGTCACGTTTTGGTGTGTTTTGTTTTCTCAAATAATAATAAGAAAGAAAAAAATAAATGTTCAGTTCGTTTTTAGATTTTCCATTCTACTTTTCATTTTGTTGTTAATTTCATAACTGTCCTCAATATTCAAATAACATACTTATTGCAATCTAAAGCGCACTTTTTTCATTGAACCTTTCTCTCATAATCGCAGTAGTTGTTGCGCCAAGATGCTTAACGTTTTCGAAGTGTTGATGAGTGGTCTAAAAATACATCGAACCTGCGCCACTCTCATAATCGAGAAAAAAAAACTGATTAACCAATCAGTTTTTTTTCTCGATTATGAGAGTGGCGCAGGTTCGACTCCCGCCAAATGCCAAATTTATTTATTAAAGATTCTCGAAAAAATCAAAACAAGTAAATAAACTAAAATTATTCTGTATGAAAAGACAACGGTGATGTCTAATCAAACACGTGTGTTACATTTGAAATATAATGTATATTGCACTGTTTTCTTTTTCCGTTTTTTTTGTTTTGACTTATTATTCTGATGGTTCCAGAATGGAACGTGCTACTGGCACATAATTGGTTCTTCACTCCATTCTTATTTTATTGTTAAGGAAGAACTTTAGCTCAGACAGATACCTCCATGGAACTACCACTTTATGAAGCAGTGTTTTCTTTTTAAACAGTGTATGAGTTGTGTTAATTTTTTACCAGATGCATTGTAATTGATGAATATCCCGAGATGAATGGAATAAAATCACTTCATTGCAAACAAAAAAAAAAGTAATAATAAATTTCTCCAAGAACCATCTTCACCGCTCTGTTAAGTATTGGTACGCGTTTTGCGATTAACGTTCCACATTTTACTCATTCCTACGTCAAAGTGGAAATATTTTCGTAAATTCTCACTTCCTTTCAGATATACCATGTGTGAAACAAAGGTATCCAGTTTTGACACGTTCATTTCTGTACCCTATATTCAAACCTGAATTTGTTGATTCGTTTAAATCTCAAAGTCCTGGTAAACTTTACGACTTTCGTTCGAAAGGAACATTTCTCGTCTGTGCATTTACAATTGGTCGCTTTGCTCAAAATACCTTCACTAGTAGAGTTCCCATTGGATCAATTCCACCATTGATTCATGCCGAATCATTCTTTCTGGAATAATTTAGAACATTCGATGATTATCTGATATACTGTCCAATCTACATTTACGATTCTCCTGTGTTTTATCTGTAAAGCCTTTCACATCGGTGGCCCTAATATCATTGATTTAAGCTGCTATTACGAGAGATGCACAACAAAATAAAGTAAGTCCATCAATTTCTTTAGATGTATAGCGTTATAAAAGGAAAATTTCAGACGGAAATTCAAAGACCCATAGGAAAAGTGATAGACGCTTTCCAGAAACTAAATAAAATGCAAAGAAATAATAAAGATAAGATTCCTCAAATAATAACTAAGTCTGTTAATGTTGGACTATTTCCTCACAGGTAAACTGGAGACTTGAGGTAAGTGAGCTCCTACAGAAGAATATATAGACAGAAAATCTGAACGACGAAGTCTTCTTAATATAAACGGAAGCGAAGGGACTGTTGACGACCAGAAAAGGGATCTGGAATATGTATCTTGAATATTTAATTAGACTTAGAGTATATGGAACTAATTGGATAGTAGTCTTGTTAGCAGCGATAGGAAATATAGAGTCATATACCAAATTCGCTTTCGTAAATGGATGACAGAAAATGAACTAAGAAGAAGAATATATGGACAAATATTACTTAATCCTGCAAAGGATAGCAAAATAGCGCGGTGTCATGATCATCCAAATCCTGAAGGAATGGGACATTTACCCACTTTATATTTTATTATCCAGGCTTATGTCGATTTATCGCTTAGGTTTGTGTTGGTCAGGCGATATTTAAAGAAGTCGCCTCTCTTTCATCTATTTAGGATCAACAGCTTCCAATTTAATAATATCATAGAGAAAGAACATTAGGCAACTTCTTGATGTAATTAATTAGTTCACTTCGCCACAGTCAAATATCACGACTTACTATCTTTTAATTATCATCGTAAGCCATTTTGCCTTCAATCAGCACGGCTGATGCTAACCTCCTGGAAAGTAACTTACTGTGTCTTTTTGGATTCACGTTTTCCACTAACATGAAGTGAAGTGACAATATTGAATCAATTGCTAGTTTTACTGCTAGGAAAGTTGGATCACTGTGTTTCGCTTGTCTGACAATTTTTCTCGTCGTAAATCATCTTGCACATTTATAAATCTACCATTCCTCCGTTTATTGAATTTTACTGCCATGTGCAGTCTGGTGCATCTCGAGTACAGTCATTTTCTAACTACAATGCAGTTGATTAATAATAGATTATCATTTTCAAAAACATAATAATCAATATTTTAATAAAACTGTTTAATTTCACTAAGTACTTGTTAAAATTTAAGGATTTTCCAATTTGAATTTTTTTTATGAATCTTAATTTTTAAATTAATAATTTAATAAGCTCCTTGCAAATTCCATGTCTATAAAATTCAATATTTGCAAATTCAACTATGGCCATGTTAAATATTTGCGCTTAAGAACTTAAAAGAAAGATCACAATAATAGATATGAACGCAGGTAATTATTTGTATTATTCTTTCATTCTTTCATTCTTTCATTCATTCTTTCATTCTTTCTTTCATTCTTTCTTTCATTCTTTCTTTCATTCTTTCTTTCTTTCTTTCATTCATTCTTTCATTCTTTCTTTCTTTCATTCTTTCTTTTTCTTTCATTCTTTCATTCTTTCTTTCATTCTTTCATTCTTTCTTTCTTTCTTTCATTCTTTCATTCTTTCATTCTTTCTTTTTTTCTTTCATTCTTTCTTTCTTTCTTTCATTCTTTCATTCTTTCTTTCATTCTTTCATTCTTTCATTCTTTCTTTCATTCTTTCATTTTTTCTTTCATTCTTTCATTTTTTCTTTCATTCTTTCATTCTTTCTTTCATTCTTTCTTTCATTCATTTTTTCATTCATTCTTTCATTCTTTCTTTCATTCATTATTTCATTCTTTCATTCTTTCTTTCTTTCATTCTTTCTTTCTTTCATTCTTTCATTCTTTCTTTCATTCTTTCTTTCATTCTTTCATTCTTTCTTTCTTTCTTTCATTCTTTCATTCTTTCATTCTTTCATTCATTCTTTCATTCATTCTTTCATTCTTTCTTTCATTCTTTCATTCTTTCATTCTTTCTTTCATTCTTTCATTCTTTCTTTCATTCTTTCATTCTTTCATTCTTTCTTTCATTCTTTCATTCATTCTTTCTTTCTTTCTTTCATTCTTTCTTTGTTTCGTTCTTTTCTTTTTCCTTTTCTATTTCTCTTTCTGTTTCCCTTTCTATTTCTCTTTCTGTTTCCTTTTCTATTTATTTCTTTCTTTCGCTTTTACTTTCTTTCTCCTCCTGTTTCTTTCTTTTTATTTTTCTTATCTCTTTCCCTCTTTTTCCTTCTCACAGTCTTTGTTTCTATCCTTGCTTTCCTTTTCTCTTTTTTTTTCTTTTCGATTTCATTTCTCTTTCTTTCATTTACACTTTCTTTTTTTTTCTATTTTCTTCCTCTCTCTCTTTCTTTTTTTCTTTCAAATCAAAACAACATTATTTACTTAACTTTTCTTCCGTTTATTCTCGCCATCAAACAGGAATGTCCCATTATTTATCTAAGGTAATTGCAGTGTGTTACGTACTTACTAACTAACGAAAGAGTAGAATTATAACAGGATTCTTGATTTCTAGGGTTCACCATATATTTTCCTGACGTATATCAGGCACAGAGAAAATGAAAAAAAAAAGTAGCTGGAATCAATTGAATTGAAAAGAAAATAAAGAATCCAGAAAGAAACTTCAAGAGGAAAATTGTGTGGTAGAAATTTCCCAAGAGAAATACAACACCGGCATATTGCTTTTGTGCTGATTTTTGGCGGATTACTTTTATTTAGTTTTGTCAAATATGAAGAAATTCTGACTTGGCAACTTGCAGTGTATTACCTGATAAATGCAAGATAAAAAATAAGTTTTGCTTGAATAACAAATGGTTGCAGGATATATGTTGTGTTATGGAATAAGTATTTTTCCTTACTTACCCATATTTTCACTAGTAAGTCATTACTTTTGTTTCATGTCATCATTATTGATATCAAATTGCCAGCGAATGAATAAGATTACATTTCTGATAGAAAGCTGAAACGTTTTGATGTTAAAACAGGAGGACATTTGTGAATATTAATAAGAAAAAAGGGACTTCTGGAATTGAAGTCTGAGCATTTATCAAAGCAAAATGTATGTAACCGCGAGATATTCATATAGAAATATGTGCAAACTCAAGTTTGAGTCAAGGAAATGTGCTTCTATATTCAACAACACACGTATATAAACGCGTGCGCACATATATACGAGAGAAAGAGAAACAAAGACAAAAAGAAATGAAAGAAGGAAAGAGAGAAAGAAATAGCGAAAGATAGAGAAAGAAAGAAAGAGTTAAAGAAAGAATTAGAGAAAGAAGGAAAGAATTAGAGAAAGAAAGAAAGAATTAGAAAAAGGAAGAAAGAAAGAAAATAAGAGAAAGATGGAAAGAAAGATAATGAGAGAGTGAGAAAAAATAAGAGAAAGATGGAAAGAAAGATAAAGAAAGATTGAGAAAGAAAAAAAGAGAAAGATGGAAAGAAAGATAAAGAAAGATTGAGAAAGAAAATAAGAGAAAGATGGAAAGAAAGAAAAAGAGTGAGAAAGAAAAAAAGAGAAAGAAAAAAAGAGAAAGATAAAGAAAGATTGAGAAAGAAAAAAAGAGAAAGATGGAAAGAAAGATAAAGAAAGATTGAGAAAGAAAAAAGAGAAAGATGGAAAGAAAGATAAAGAGTGAGAAAGAAAAAAAGAGAAAGATGGAAAGAAAGATAAAGAGTGAGAAAGAAAAAAAGAGAAAGATGGAAAGAAAGATAAAGAAAGATTGAGAAAGAAAAAAAGAGAAAGATGGAAAGAAAGATAAAGAGTGAGAAAGAAAAAAAGAGAAAGATGGAAAGAAAGATAAAGAAAGATTGAGAAAGAAAATAAGAGAAAGATGGAAAGAAAGAAAAAGAGGGAGAAAGAAAAAAGAGAAAGATGGAAAGAAAGATAAAGAAAGATTGAGAAAGAAAAAAAGAGAAAGATGGAAAGAAAGATAAAGAGGGAGAAAGAAAAAAAGAGAAAGATGGAAAGAAAGATAAAGAAAGAGTGTATAAGGAAAAAAGAGAGAATGTATAGGAAACGATGACCCTTTTTGTTTTAACATGCACTTTATTTTTTTATGTATATTGTTTTCTCGCTACTAACGTTTTAGTCTGTCTTAGAAAGTTAACGTTAACTTTTTAATCTCTGATAATATATATATATATATATATATATATATATATATATAATTTTGTGTCTATTTATTCTTTTACTGAGCCTTTCATGTTATCTAATCACTTTCTTGATGTTAAGATGATATTAATCAAGGAAGGGATCGTTTACTTGATAAAGAATTGATTGATTACCATCAACTTCCTTGATTGATTAACAACCAGAAACTGATTAAACAACTGAAAAGAATCAGTAAAAAAAATAGTAGATAAAATATATATATATTATTTAATGAAACATGTTTGAGTAAAGATATGCTGTATATATATATATATATATATATATATATATATATATATATATATATGCACGTCTTACCAGTTTGTGATTGTAAGTGATAATTCCGAGGAGTATATAAATCCAGGAGAACTCAACAAAGACTACAGAGCATCATTATGATAAGAAGACGGAGAACTAGTTATCGATTTTGATTAGATTTATTTCGTTAACACCAAAGTGTTCAAAACTTCAGATCAAAATCACCTCTGTATGTGAAAAAAAAAAAAACTTGACGCAGAAGATTTCAGCCTGAAGAGTTGAACCTCTGTGTTGACGAAAATAAATTATAATCAAAATGGATAATTACAGTCTCCGTCTTTTTATTGTCATTATATGTGTATCTATCTATCTATCTATATATATATATATATATATATATATATATATATATATATATATCATAGTTAAAGGCGTGTAACATGTATGCTCGTATGTATTTTTCACCTTTAGATTTACAAGCACATGTTTAAAATAAGTCATTATAGACAAAAGTATGCATAACACGTAACCACTTGATAAAAACATAAATATATACTCCTGTTTTGTTTGATATATATTTATACCATAGAAATTACGTTTACTTGATTTTCTTGATCCACCATCGTTCCTCCCAGGTAATTAAGCCCAGTTCTGTCTGGCATAAAATGCAATTTCATTAAATATTATCTCTGAGCAGTGGAACAATTTCTTGCATTTTCTTCCTTTTAAACATGAAAAATATAACTAAAATCTGATTATTTTGCTCGTCGCATAAAAAAAAACAAAAAAATAAAACAAATTGTAGATTCATTCTTCCCTTACTTTTTCTCTCGAGTTAAATCCAACTTGCTTTTCTCAATGTTTCGCTACTTGTTAAAAAAATCCAAAGCCTCGATTGTATCAGTATTTTACCTCTTTTATTTAATGCCGTTCTACAAGATTTTCTAAAAGAACGAAAGATTCAAAAGTCAATATTCATGGCGAAGTGTTTTGATCAAAGAGGATTTAAAAGGAAGAACTGAAGTTGGAAAGGTAAACAAAAAAAAATAATGAACGATATTAAGAAAAGTAATTAAAGAAAGTGTGAACAAAAGAATAGACGAAGGAAACAGAAATAAAGTAAAGGAAAAAGTGAATGAAAAATTGTGAGGTCTGTTATAAAACATCTTTCACTGCCGTGCTAGACAATGTTTCTCTCGGGAATCTATCTTACATATTTATAAGACTATCTTTCGACAATATTTCGAATAGAGCTGTAACATAGGGTCTGGTACCCCAGCTAGATATTTAAATGTCCTTGATGAAATCAAAATAAGAATCTAATTATATTAATCCTTACCTGTTATCCTATCTTCAGTAACTTATCTGTGCCCTTTCATTAAATACTTCAATGGTGAATGTTGTGATGAACCTTCCTCTCTTGTTCCAATGGGAACTAGTTAGAGACTTTGGTATATTATGATGGCTGTAGTAAGAATGCTAAGTAAGAATGTATTATTTTAGAGTAAGGAATACGGTAGTATGTTTGAGTCAGTAATCTTGGTTAGATGAGTATGAGATAAAACAGGTGGAAGACAAAATTCTACCTATAACAATACAGAGATGTGGCTCAAGCCACATCTCTGTATCGTTCTTTTATGAATTTAAGCGCAGTACTAGATAGATATCAGGGACTAATTTTACAATGGGTTTGGCTAGATGTAGCCGTAAATACTTTGCTATCAGTTTCTTTTCTTGGACATCTCGTTTGGGCAAATCTCTTCCGGCTTCTTGCTGTCCAGCCACCTTTCATATTTACAAATATAAATGAAATATCAATCGTTATCAACTGTCTTCTTGCTGCCTAATCTTTATTGTACTCGCTCATTAATAATGTCTTATTTTTTTATTCTTTTACACTCAGTTACCCCTTCTGTCTTAGAAGCTTTATGGATTTGTTTCTGGTGAAATTATTAAGAAAGTAAAAAGAACGTACGAAAGATTGATAAGTATCTGTTTACATTTCTGAGATGAGGTATTATGTACACTATTTACATTATTCGGACTACTGTCCTCATCTTTGTCGCCATATTTATTACAACGTTTCGGTCGTTGTAAACTACGGCCTTCTTCAACTGGTTGGAATGTCGAACTGAAACCTTTATTTCTCTCACTGTGGTAGACTGTTCTAGTTACACATGCCATGTTTAATGGATGTCAGTTTTCAGTCATCTCCTGTTAATTCACCTCTCCAAGTTCTCGACTGCCTTAACTGGCTATTAGACTCACACTCTTTGGGTCCTGTCACTGGATCTAACTAACGCCGTTATTCACTGTGCCATCTGTGTATGAAATTCTGTGTATTATAAACCTAATATGAAAGATTGATCGTACGAACGAATGTGTCTTAAAAATAAACAAAAAAGAAAGAAAAAAAGAATCAGTAAAAAATGAAGGAAGGTAACAATTAAATAACGAATAAATTAAGTACACTGAAAGTATCTCAAGAAGGTTTGGTTTATTTTGTTTAACGGCATATCAACGTAAATGGGTTCTTTAATGCTGACAAAATGTTTAGGATAGATTTGTATGAATAGCATATATATTCTTTGGTTTAGATTAGTTTGGGTTATCTTGTTCTACGGCACATCAACCTCAATGGATTATTTAATGGTGACAAAAATTTTTATTGCTGGTAATAATTTGTTTTGTCAAAAATCTGTTTCTGGTAATATATTTCCTTAAAAAATGTATTGCTGGTAATAATTTTTTTCAAAAATTATTGCTGGTAATAGTTAACTATTTGCCCATAACTGGGACCTTAACAGGTGCTACCACCCCGGGTCAAGGTGGACCTGGAATCACAAGCAATTAAGAAGTGCTTCCGTGCTCCTCAAAACGTCCTGATAAGAGGTCTTGCTGCTGGACGTAGTTTAACGTCTTACCCAGGACGCGGATGTAGTTTAGCCTCTTACCCAGGACGATATCTCAAGAAGGACCGAATGAAGGAAAGTAATGAAAAAGACAAGGAATATAATTTTCAAAAAAATGAAAATAAAATGGAAACTGGACAGGAGGACGCATGACACATAATTAGTAAAAGTGATAGATACACAGAGAAAGAGAGAGAGATGAAAACAAAGTGAGTTGTTATTATTTAACACGAAAAAAAGGATTGTATAGAATATAAGTTAAAGAAAGCGTGAAAGAAAATGAGAAACCCAGAAGCAAACAGGCGGACAGTGATTATCCAGATTATGGGTTTGTCTGCATCGTCGTATTGTACACAAATTTGTTTAGACAGACATGCGCCAACATATAAATAAGACGTTAATGTGTACTAAACATCAAGGTAGAGTGCTAGACATGGCAGCAAACGTTTAGATAACTAAATGTTCATTGTTGTAGACCAAGAGGGTGAATAAATGTTCTTGTTCAGATCATGATATCTTTCAAAAAAGATGTTTGCTCTGATTTTAAAAATGGGGTTAGAGTGAGTCTTTTCACTCTGACTAGTGTATAAATTACATTAAAGTAGATGGACACAAGCCTTTCTAATGATTTCTCACTATACACAGAAAATGGTGGTTCAAAACATTTGCCTTTTGACAAAGAGATTGGTTGAATTTTGATATTGATCTTTGAATATAGGTGGTTATCAAGAAGTATTGTTTTAAGTGGAAGACAAAGAAATTATGTTGTGAAATAAATAATGTTAGGGTATGATAAACCTAAACGTTTCCTCGTGAGAAAACAGTAGTGCTAACTGTAGAAATTTATATAATATTTATCTTATTTTTTTTAGAGAAAATAGTCCCTTTTATGGGATCTTCAGCATTGAGGGGGGTTCCTTCCAAATTGTATATTTGAAGTAGTGTAGATTGTCAACATCTATATTATGTCATTAGTTTCTCTGTTACATGTGATAGTCATTTTAGCTAATGCTGCAGTTGAAATTCCTCAAGTATTGTGGTTACTATTGTCTCGTTCTGATCATTATTGTTCGATTGTGTGACAACAGTCTGCAGAGTTTGAAAAAAGATAGTCTCCGACAAGATACGTCGTCTTGACTTACTTCACGTAAAATGTAGCCTAGAATTACCTGCTGCATGATCAGGTGAATTGGGACTAAAACGTTTCACCCATCAGACCTTTCTGGTGAGGATTCTGTCTAAATTACTAACATGATTGTGAAAAATACCTGGTAAAAGATAGAGAAACATTTTCTACTTTCAACGGCTATCAAACGCTACAGGGGAAATTGGAGTATAATATATATATATATATATATATATATATATAGCCATTGAGGTTATAACACGACAAAGCTGGGCGGAATTCAACGAAACTTACAAGCTCGCGAATATCGGATTTGATTTGACAGGAGTATGATGTAACCCGCCAGGTATACTTGTCAAAAACAGGCTAATGTTAATAAATATCTTTCACTCTTTCAACTCAGATGGTTGAAAGGAAATAAACAGGTGCTCATCTGTACAGAGACCCTACGAGCACAACCTGTCTTGGGACTGACGCTGAGGAATTTACTGACGTGTGTAGTTGTCTTTCTGTCCACATGACCCATTGCATAAAAGCGTTGGCTGAGTTATCCAAAAGTTTACTTGACTCAAACAGTTGGGAGTTCGATACATG